TACTGTCTCCTCATTTACAAGTTTTTGTGAATTTGAAATTTCACATCTTTATGTGAATTAACGGTATTGCATCAATTCACATAAAATTTCGAATTCATGGCATAATGTGTAAGGAAAAGATTTCTTTAATTCTGAATGGAAAGTTCTAAAATTTTTATACAGGAGTAACTTTATTTTGCTTTTTAGAGAATTTTTACTCTGTAATTTTATAAGTTTTCATGTTCTATTATATTGTGAGAACCCGGATTTAAGAAGGCTGAGATTCGAATATTTTTATTCATTTTCATCTACCGTTTTTGTTTCGAAACCAAAATGATTTTATAAAAGTTAGGGTTAACTCAAAAAGAGAAAAACAACCGACAAATTTTCTCATAAAAATCCGTTCCCACAAGAATACTTCCTTGTAGAAGATGAGTTAACTGTTGTGTCATAATTTTGTCACTTCACCCACCATTGGTCAAAGAAGATCATCACCTGTGACGTACATGGGGAAATCTCAAGAAGAGAGCCCCCATATAAAAGGCAAGTGCGATGACGACACAAGGGGAAAAGTTATTTTTCTGTACTCTGTGTGTGTGTAGATTACCTGCCTCTCGTCACCACCATCTTCAATAGACTTTACAATTCTGACTTTGATTACGATTTTGAACTGAATTTCGAACCTGGGAAGTACAAGAATTTAAATCAACTAGACATAAACATTTATAACTAGAGGTATTTATTCTACTCGCGATGATCTGTAAGCCCTCTCTCGAATATTTCCAACCCATGGTTAGGGTTGCGACTAATATATATTTTGTCCGCTATCAACCCCGAAATCTATGAATTATACAGATTGGAAATCCCAAGAGGAAATTGTACCCTCGACTCCTTAATTAATCATCTATGTAAAAATGTTCAACAATAAATGGGTATAACGTAAACAAATTTTGATTGGTGTGCGTTTCTTCTGACATTATCACTTCCATACTGAACCCAAAGTCCTCCACGAGATCGCTCGTGATAATTTGTCCTCAATTAAATGCGCATCTATCCACTAAGAAATTGATAGATTGGTGTCAGATCCTAACAGGAGAAAGGATTTAACGATCCTTAACTCTATAACCCTTTCGCTCAACAGAACCCATCCTTTGGACAAGAGAGACCGGACCTCAAGGTCTTGAGTCGAGTAAGAGGTAGGAGAGTCAAGAACTCATAAACATCCTACCCCCAATTAGTCTCACAATATATTTATTTTTTTAAATTTTCAATTACAGCATTTATAATTTTTATTGAAAAATATAAACTACACGAATTTCTAATAAGCAATTTATATAGTACTGTATAATAAAATCACAAATGATTTGTTTTTATATTGACAGTATTTGTCTTTCAATGTCATCATCAATTAATACAATATAACCACAAATAAAATTCAAGATTAAAAATTAAGCTTATTTTATATCAGAAACACTTAATAATGAAAAAATAGAGATTCCATAACATGTATAATCTGTTTAGTAAAAGCCCAGAATTTTTATTACTCGGTTATATCATGTTTTTTTCTCTCTCATGATAACAAGTGGCTACTGTATTTCCAGTAAACCATGAATACTTAAAAAATCTTTGGCTTCTGTAAATAATCAGTCATGAAAAATGATGTTCTTTTATTAAGATTTTTCTGGATGTTTTCAGCTTCCTTCTTTTTTGCTTCCTCTTGCTTTTAACACTAATAAGCATCACTTCTTTCATGTTCTTGCTGTTAATAGCCTTCTCCAATTTTTTTGTTTGCTGCTTCTAAGAAAACTTGGCCTGTTGCATGTATTACTTTTTCTTCTACATTTTTCTGGTTTAAACTCAGCTGCAGTTCTATAATCTTCATGTTATGAACAGCTTTCTTTTGTTGTTCTTAAAAACGTTTCTCTTATTCTTTTAACTTCTTTTCATTTTCCAATTGTTCTTGATAATTTCTATGCGCTGAGGAAGCTAATTTCAGTAGTCCTTTGTAATGGGTACAAGGTGGGGCTTTGGTAATACATGTTTAGTCCCTCCTTAAAAATCAAAAGTGAATTAAGCATTTTTTTCAACACTGATGCTCTATCAGGAGAAAGTGCCAGCGTGAAATTGACTCTCTCTCCCATGGAAATGCTGATTTCACTAATTTGGCAATACTGGGATATTTATCATTATCAGAAACTGTTTATTTTTTAATGCTTCGAGATGTATAAATATTGATTTCAAAATAAAATAATAAATCTGAAATAAATATATTTCAAATAATATAATATTTTATTAATGATTTCATAAATACTGGTAAAAGAAACTTTTTTCCTGCAAATGAATAAAAACCAACATCGTTACAACTTGTTAACCTTTTGGGAAGCGTGTGAAAATTTTTCTCACAAGAAATCACATGTTGTACTTTTTACAACACTTGGAATCTTTTAATTTATTCAGTAAATTTTATATGTAAATATGAATTTACATTTTTGTTTACTTTTTTAGTCTCTCAATTAATGCACAATTATAATCAGCATAAAAGAAAAGATTAAAAAATGGATATTTCACAAGTAAAGTAATCACACATTTTATGAAAATAATACTTACTACATGGAATAATTATACTTGTAGTCAATTTAAACATACATTTAGGCAGTGCTTTTTTTGTCATAGAACGCAATGGAACAGCGTTCCACCACCTTTTTTTGATATATTTTAAAAATTTTAAGAGAATTTTTGAAAATTTGATGTTTGGTCCACATTGAATCGCTCTGTTGAGCATAGAAAATCAGAAACAAAATTATTAAGACGGTCATGCTCCTGCATGTGTGCCGAATCTTGTGTACGATGCTTGTAATATTAATGTATTTTTAGTAATGAGATGAGCGTTCCACCACCTTTTTTTCCCCAAAAAAAGCACTGCATTTAGGAAGATATAGATGTGATCTAACGTTAACAATATGCTATGAAAGAATTATTTAACTGTAGTTTATGAAATTATTTAAAGATAAATCAAGTAAAACAATATTTTTATAAACGACAACGCTATAACCTGATTGTTAATTAAAACCAAATAATATGTCAAATTATGGGGCTATAACAAGAATAGCTAAATGGTCAGAAACGAAATAATTTGTCTAGTGGTTAAGCTATTATCTCGTGTTAATTTTAATAATTATATATTTTGAATTTAAAAGCAGCAGCAGTGTTGTCAGCTTGAGAGAGTAATCCCTCTGCCTAATATGTTTTCCCCTGCAAAAGGATTTTAGTGATATTCTTAGAAAACAGCCAAAAACGCAGGGATGCTTAGAATTCACATTTTTAAACTCCATACAAAGAAATGCAATTTGGAAGAGGTAGATTTTGGCGAATAATGAAAATATGGCATGTTACGTAACTTTACTCAACACTGCCTTCTGAATTTGTAATGAGAGGGATTTTTTTACATACATAAAATAAATTTTTGTTTCCTATAACCTAACAACACTGAGCGACTGTGCAGCATTCGCAAATTTCGAGTCCCGCTCAGGGCCAAGTATTTTCTTCCAGAAAATTCTATTCCGATAGTCCAATAATTCAACAGATAGTTCGGCTTTAAAATTATTTTTTATTTGTCCCGCATCTTAATTAAGCACATGAAAATGACCAAAAAAGTGAGAAAAGTGAGTGACTCCGAGGCCTAAACAAATTATACATGATATGGAATCTCTATCCTATATTCTTTCATCAGCAAGTGTTGTTGATATAAAATAAGCTTAGTTTTACAATACCAAATTTTATTCATGATTGTATTGTATTAATTGAAGTTTACATAAACAAACAAACAACACACTTATAAACTGGAACTGTAAGATCAAATAACCAACATCTAAATGCAATTTCCAGCAAACAATAAATAACAATTTTCGGCCATCATTTAGAGGCCCTCATCAGGATTAAGTACATAAAAAACAGTTCTATAATTTGAATCTTCACTGCACTCCAATATTTTAAACATTTAAAAAGATGTTCAATAAGAATGGTGATGCATCATTTACATCACAAAAATAAATAATTTTTTTAAGGTATAATGTCTACATTTATGTAAATATCAATACCACAAATGCCCATTTAACATTATTCTTTCTTTAATAATGACATTTAAAGACAAGTATCGTCAATATAAAAACAAAATATCAGTTGCGATTTTATTATACAGTACTCTATTTCATAATAAATTGCTTATTAAAAATTTCGGTAATTTAAATTTTTCAATAGAAATTATAAATACATAATTGAAAATTTTAAAAATAAATATTGAACATATAATAGAACATGAAAACTTATAAAATTAGAGTAAAAATTCTCTAAAAAACAAAATACTTTCTGTTCAGAAATAAAGAAATCTTTTGCATATACATTATGCAGTAAATTTCAAATTCACAAGTTTCATTTCAAGTCACTTACAAGCTTCTGTGAAATTTCAAATCCACAGAAACTTGTAAGTGAGGAGACAGTACTTAAAACCAATAAATAAACAACTTTTGATATCAAAAGGAAACATAAATGATAATTGATATGTCCATCTGTTTTGCTTATTTAGATCTTGACAAATTTATTGTTTCACCTGCAGTGGTAGTTTCGAGAACAATGGTAGGAATAAAATATGGTATTTTGTTGTAAAAAGAAATTCAATGGCAATTGGTAATTTAAAATTTATTGATTTGACTGCTTTTAAAATTTGGGAACCAAAACCAGAACAATATATCTGAATCCACAATATGACAATGCACAATATAACAAGGGGCTACTGTATTAAATTGTTTTAATTGAACCCAACGTCTGTTGTATATGGATGAAAACATTTAATTACAGGATTTTTTATTTTGCTGGTCATTTGGTGTGTTGCATAAATCTGCTTATAGAATTAATAACATTCAGAATTTAGTAGTAAAATGTTTAAAATTAAATAAAGTAGCATCCGTAGCAAAATCCATAATTCTCTTCTTTACTTCAGATAAATGAATTGTAAAAACACTTACCATTATATAATTATAAGCCACATTATGAAGTTGAACACAACTCTGACTTTCTGCAAACAAACATATCCCAATGCAATTAGATGGATTTAAACGACACATCATAAATTTACAACAAGCTTCTACTACTTCTGATAATTGTAATAAATTGGCAGTTGATAGCAATGTCTCAACCGTATCTTCATGGATATCGATTTCACCTAAATGTAATAACAGTAATTATTATTAATGCTTCTGTAAATTGTATCCTACATAATTGATACTAGAGCCTGGTTGCTATGCAGAACATTAGTAGTAGCAATGCCTTAACAAGCTGTTTCTTTATGTGCAGTTTGTGTAAGTATTAATATTTAAGAATGACCTAATTATAGGAATGTATTTAGTATGGTTGCTTTCTGTAATATGATGTATGTGCTGTTGTTAAGGTCTAATGCAGTGATTACCAAACTTTTTTGAAGCACCACCGCTTGTTCCATAGTTATACCCAACACTCCCCAACCATACCCCAACACCCCTAACCCATTTTCTCTTGTGTGAGAAAGACTTAGAAATATTCTTAGGTAAACTTTTCTATCTACTTCACACTTTGTTCTCAACATCTGGAAACCACTAAATACAATGTTTCTTCTTACCCGTTTAACAGAGGAAAGGGAAAGGCTGTTAGTGACCCCAACCTTTGCCTATGGTCAAAGTTCAATACCCTGCCTCTGGTACCCCCTGCCACCCACTTGCTTCTTTCTGCCCCTTTAGATTTACTCATCACCCACAGTGGGCAGTAGCACCCACTTTGGGAACAACTGGGCTAATGTTTCTAGACCTTTATATATTGTATGTAGTATGTTGCCTGTATAAGTATGATTAGAATCCAAAAAAACAGTATAATAAACTGGATGTGCTCATTAAAGTTCACTAAACCAACCAGCAAAAATCAAACACTTTAACCAAAACAATGTTTTCAATTGCTTTTGGTAATCATTGTCAGGCTTACATTCATAAAAGTTATAGAACAAACTACAGAACAAAGAATTCTACAAATTTAAATTAGATACATTTATCTTATTGCTGCACTCATGGTGAAAGCTGCTTCTGATTTAATGTAACTTTTTACTTCACTTCAAATAACGATTTAAAAATGGGAAATATTTAAATAAACAAATGCTTACTGGAATTAATTAAATAAAATAAACAAACACCTTTCTCTATGCCAGCGCGTTGTTTAATACATTAGAAATGTTTTCGATCATTTTAAGCAATCTTCTTCAGTTCAAATTCGAACCATATAACGAACAAAGTATTAGAAATAATACAAAAATTCAAAGTGCTTATTCATGACTTAACGTTAAAGCGCATGCCCATACTCATAAAATGAATAGATTAAACCAAAATAATTAAAAATAAACTAAAAATAAACCAAATACTCAGTGAATAGAAGCATTGATAGCACAGTCCTCGCAGCATTTGTGAAGCAGCAAGGAATTGCAGCATACTGGGATCAGGCAGCGATTATTAGACCTACAAGATCAATGCAAGTGGTGAAACACCTGGAAAAAGTTGAGATAATTGAGATACACAAGGCGCATATGACTGCGCAGTGCATCAATCACAGGGATGCTGAAGGTTTATCAACAGCCTGGAAGTCCTTTTATGATAATATAGATTAACTGTTGCAACTAGGTAGGCAGCATTATTAATTGTTTTTATAATATTTCTTGATATATAATTTTTGGTTTATTTTTAATTATTTTAATTTAATCTATTCATTTTATGAGTACGGGCATGTGCTTTAATGTTAAGTTGTGAATAAGCGCTTTGAATTTTTGTATTATTTCGAATACTTTGTTCATTATATGGTTTGAATTTGAACTGAAGAAGATCACTTAAAATGATCGAAAACATTTTTAATGTATTAAACGTTGTGCTGGAATAGAGAAAGGTGTTTGTTTATTTTATTTATGGGTAATATTGTGTTGGCTTTTTAAAATTAATAGTTCCTGCATTTTTACTGTACAGGGTTAATCACAAGTCTGCAAAACATTTTAAAAATTTAATATTTATAAACTACACAACAGATACTACATTTTTAGCATTGAAAGAAACATGAACTCTCCAACCTTTTTTCAGAATAGTTTACAAACATAGTTGCCATGATTTGTTGCAAGGAGACAACAGTAGTAAATATAGCACAAAGCAAACATTGTCCATCCTGATCACTGGATTTAACCCTGTGTGACTTCTTTTTATGGAGATTCATTAAAAGCACTGTCTTTGTGCTCCATTCCTTCGTAACCTCCAGGAACTATGCAAACGTATCACTGTAGCATGGCATTGGTCAACTGCAATATGCTGACATGCATATAGGGGGAAATTAATTATCAGCTAGATCTCTACCATATCAGCAAAGGTGAACACATTCAATATTTTTGACTCGCATAAAAATCTTGGAAGTTTACACCTTTATTTCAATGTTAAAAAATATAGTATCTGTTATGTAATTTATAAATAATAAATTTTTTTAATGTTTTATGGATTTATAAATAACCCTGTCTTTCCATTCTTTCCAAGTATTTTAGATGTGTCTTTTCTTGTGTGTGGTGTGTTATCTGCACTTTGTCTAGATGTACTTCATTCTCAGTTGCATTGTTGTAAGACCCTTCTTCAGTGATTCCTCACATATTTAGGTAACATGACTTTTAGGAACACATTTTGCAAACATATGTAAACCTGTTGATGATCACTAAAAGTGACTGAAAATGTTTGTTTTGATTAAAGTGATTTTGCTGGATTTCTGGTTAGTTTGATAAATTTTAATAAGTATTATCCACTCTCACAAGCACTATTTCATACTTGATTTTTAGAATTTACAAAATACATAATTTTGAGACAACGATCCATGCAGAAAATTACAGGAATGGAAATAAAACCTTCATATAAGCTGCCCACCATAAAACCTGCACCTTCTTTCAAATTCTCTTTCAAACACAGATAACCTGCAGGTTATTCACTCAAAATTATAGCATATACACTTATAAAGCTCAGTATATGTTGTGAGCATTTCAAATAGGTATGTCTATAATGTATATAATTTCATTTCATTTGTTTGTGTGTCGATTTTTAAGATCATCTTAAATGTGTATTTATAATATAATTGCTAAATGTTTCTATAGTTTCTTGTATTAATTAGCTGATCTAGTAGACAATCATGAACTCCTCTCTCCCCAAAAATCATCCCCAACCTATCCAGCAGTTTTATGAAGTTCTGTCAACTTAATCCTGGATGAGGTTATTTGGATGCTTACCATGGAAGTTCTGAGCACAAGACTGCTTCATGGTGTCTGTGTATTTTGTGTAGTGTGTTAATTCCAAGTCAGCATTGTATAAGTTTAATAGTGTACAATTTCTGTCTCCAAGAGTTACAGCTTTGTGTAATTTTGATGTTTCTTGATTTCTGTAAAAAAAACTTTTGCAGTGGCTGTATTTATTTGTAGTACAGATTACTGTATCTGTCAAGCCTCATCTTCCTCCCTCATTACAAAGAATCAGCCTTTGTACTGAGGACTTAAATTTAAGATGATGTTTGTTATCCTTTGCAGATGTTCCAGTTCTGTGTTCAATATATAACTCCAAATGAATATGTCATATGGAACAATATAAGTGTTGATTGCTGTAAACTGGTTTTGCATTCAGTTGTTTTATTATTAATGGATGTAATCTACTGTTGTGTTCTATCTTATTTGTGCTTGTTCTGTGAGTTTGGCTTTTTGGAATCCTAAATATCTGTAGACATCTCCATTTCAGATACAAAGTCATCTTTCATCAACATTCCTATTTCCATGTGAAATGTACTGTATTTGTCAAGACCAATGATGGCAAACTCATGATCAACACAATAAGCTTGAGGTACTGATATTAAATATTTAGAAATTATTATGTTTTTATAAATTAAAAAAATATTTATAGATTCAAAATTTTACATACAAATTTTATTCAAAATTCAAAATACATAGTATGAAAGCAGTATAAAGCTATCACAAAAAGTTTTAAAGGCCACCAATTATGAACCTCAGATAGAAAACAACAGATTTTCCATTAAACAAAATACAGTAGAGCATCGATTATCCAAATCAATTGGGGACCGGGGTTGTTCGATAAATCAATTTTTCGAATAACCGATTATGTATGAAAAAATACATTTACCTATCCTATGTTGAAATTCGTTCAAATCCTGGCATGTCCTTAAGTACCCTCTCATAGTCATGCCAATGCTGCCAGCTAAAACACGCACACCAACAAAAATAATATTGGAGTAGCCCAAGACATAGCCAAAGATTGCAGCACCACAGCACTAGTGGAAATTTAAATTTGCCAACTGGGAAGCTTTTGATTAATTGGCGTTTCAGTTGATCAATATTCAGATAATCAATGCTCTATTGTACTAGTATTTGTTTCCATTATAATCACATTATTATTATCATTCTTTTACTTATGTAGAGCTTACTGTTATTTTTCTGATAGATTAAAAAGTTAAATGATTGTCAGATTATATAGGGCTATATAATTACTATTATTATTAATTAAATGCTAAATAATTTGGAACTATAAACAGGCTTTAGGTGCCATTTATTCCTACATTTAATAATTAAATTAATATTTTAACAATTAATTTAGAAGGTTCTGGAAGAAAAGAAAAGAATCAGCCCGAAGCAGGATTAGAATCCACAACTCCTGTTTACCATGTGGTAGCATTGCCAGTTACACTACCCAGACCTTTATCCAAGTAACCCAGTATGGTTATATCCAAATTAATAAGATCTGGAAGCAAGACTGAAACAAAAGTCTGGGTAGAAGTCTGGGTAGTATAACTAGCAACACAATAGAATGGTAAGCAAGAGTTGCTGGTTTGAATCCTGCTTTGGGCCGATTCTTTTCTTCCAGAACCTTCTAAATTAATTATTAAAATATTAATTTAATTATAATTATTAAATTTAGCAAGAGATGACACCTAACACCTTCCTCTAGAGCAGGGCTTCTTAAACTATAGGTCACAATCCCATTTGGGGTCGCTTAGCGAAATCTTTGGGTTGTGAGATTTTAATGTAAAATATTGAAAATAATTTGTGAGAGTTTGAAAATGGCACGCTTTGTGTCATAGGTTTCGTGAGTTGCACTTTGTGTCACTTCTGGTGCAGCGAGACAATGATTC